CCCCCGTCTCCAGGTTTGGCTCTGTGCTGGAGAATGTGATGGTCAAGGCGGACACCCGCCAGGTGCACTACGCCTCCAGCGCCCTCACGGAGAACACCCGTGCCTCCTACCCCATCCAATACATCGACAACGCGCGCATCCCCTGCGTGGGCCCGCACCCGCGCAACGTGGTGCTGCTGTGCTGCGACGCGTTTGGTGTGCTGCCGCCGGTCAGCAGGCTGACGCTGGAGCAGGCCATGTACCACTTCATCAGCGGGTACACCTCAAAGGTGGGGGCCCAACCTCAACCCCCCAGGTGGTGGTGGTGTGTGTGTTTGGGGGGTCCGAGGTTGGTTGGTGTCGGCGAGGTGGGTGGTGGGCGGTGGGGTGCAAGGAAAAGGTGACAGAGGTTTTGACAGCGCACAGTCCGCGCCGCCGCTGTTAGCAGTTGGGGTGTGGGTTGTTGGGCGGTGGATTAGCTGGCATGGGGAGCCAGCACAGCGGTTTTCGCTCAACAGCTTCACTTTAGTGGGGCGGCATCACAGCCGATTAACGTGCGCTCCCACGTGCCGCCATCCCGCGCCACGCCGCACGCTCAACCCTCCCCCCTCCTGTCCCCATCGACCCTCCCTCCCACCGCGCGCCCTTGATCCCAGGTGGCCGGCACCGAGATGGGCGTCACAGAGCCGGAGGCCACCTTCAGCGCCTGCTACGGCGGCGCGTTCCTCATGTGAGTGCATGCATCGTACACGGACTTGCAAAACGCCCCCCGACCCCCCCGTCTTTGAAACCCCCTGTGCGCCGACCGCGGCTGGCCAGCACCAATCCCATGAGCTGCTTTCATCCCTGACTCCGTCCGCCATCACGGTCGTCCCTGCGTTACTTCACCACTTGCCTGCTGTTCCCCTCAATTTCCGCATCTTGCACCCCTGCCCGTACCGCAGGTGGCACCCCATGAAGTATGCCGCCATGCTGGCCGAGCGCATGCAGAAGCACGGCACCCAGGCCTGGCTGGTCAACACCGGCTGGACAGGCGGCAGCTACGGCGTCGGGCGCCGCATGAGCCTGCGCCACACGCGCGCCATCATCGACGCGATACACTCGGGGGAGCTGTCGCGCGCGGAGACGGTGGCGCTGCCGCTGTTCGGGCTGCAGGTGCGCGCGCTAACGCTGGAGATCCAACGGGCGTCGTGGGAGCCGCCGCTCGGGGACTGGGCCTGCGGGGCAAGTCTTTGACCTGCACAGCTTGTTTGCGGAACCACCACTTTGAAAGCGCTGCACAAGCACCTGCCTGTGTTGCCGTTGCCACCCTCTCTAACATCACATATGTCAGACTCTATATATTCATAAAGTTGCCAAGCGTTGGTGCTCACGAACTCCCCCTCCCCGCCCCAAAAACCCACGCCAGGTCCCCACCTCGTGCCATGGCGTCCCCTCCGACGAGCTGCAGCCCTGCCTGTCGTGGGGCGACGGCGAGTCCTACGCGGAGCACCTCACCCACCTGGCGCGCCTGTTTGTCAACAGCTTCAAGCAGTACCTGCATGATGCAGACGAGCATGTGGGCAGCGACCTGGCCGAGAGGATCCTGGGCGGCGGGCCCAGCCTGGAGCAGCTTGAGGAGTTTGAGGGCCGAGTGCAGCCGCTGGCAGGCGCGGCGGGCGGCAAGGGCGCGGGCGCGGGCGCGGGGGCCAAGGCGGGGAAGGGCAAGGCCGCCGCGAGGGCGGCGGGACCGGCGGGGACGACCGAGGCGCCGGCGGGGGCGGGCGCGCAGCGCGTGACGGTCTGAGGCGCGCGCTCGGGTATCGTGCGATGGGCGCACTGGCGTGGGGCCATGGCAAGACACCCATTGGGCGTCGCCCTCTGGGGGCCGGCCTGTGCGACCGTTGGAGGCTTGTCGGCGGGATTGTGCGGCCTGGGAGATGTGCGGCAAAAAGCAGAGGGAAGCGAGGAGCGATGCTGCTTGTGTGCTGTGCCTGCAGGACACTGTTGTTCAATCTGCTTGTGGCGCTGGCACCTGCGTGCGCCTGCGTGCCTTGGCGCAGCAGCGTTGCTGCTGTGCATCATGTGTGTGTCAATCCCTAGTGTCGCTAGTGTGATTGGCAGACACGTCGCAACAGTGGCGGCTGTAGCGCATATGATTACTGCCATGAGGTGCTTGCAAGGCCCTGGCCTGAAACACTCGCACGGCCTGCCTGAACCCGTCTGTGGGCATGCAACTGCTGTTTTGAAAGGGTGGGTGGCGCCGCCGCAATTGTGTCGCGCGCGCTCGCTCGCTTACCGTGCCACTGCGCGGAGAGTAGATTCGATCAGATTGGATTGAATCAGCCGGTGCCATTGCTTTGGAGTGGTCTTGGCTCGCTGCCTCACAGGGACTGTGTGCACCCCCCTTCTGTAACTCTCTCGACTGCTGATTAGAGGCAAACAAGCATAATGTTTGGCAGCAGACATGTCAAGTGCGCGTTATTGTCACATTATTCTCAGCGAGCTGCTGTATCATTAAGGAAATCCTGAAGGGCTCAACATCAGCCCGCATGGCTTCCAAGCGGTCATGCAAAGTGTGCCAAAGCGACCAGCCGGCCGCCACTGTCGGGCAATCGCACACCACAGCGGCAGTGCACTGCGGTCGTCTTTCGTCGAGGCCCCTCCAAATCTCGATATCCAGATGGGTTTTGAAAGTGAAGGGTGTTCGGTGAGGACGCCAATCGGCCACAGGTGGCGGAGGCACAATTTGCATCAGGGCGGCTCCGGATCATGCATGCCTGTCGCAACTTGGCGCCAGGGCAGTGGAGCCGTTGTGTTCGTCCCTGCTGTTCCTGCTGCGTCCAGGATGCCCTGAGCTGCACTGATTTGTGTAGAGGATCGGTCTGGTCAACTGGCGTCGACGTGGGCCTGGGCTTGCCTGAGCGCTGTGCTGAGCTCCTGCCTTGAAATATCAGCAAAAAGCTGCTGCTTTACAACTTGTTGAGTGGTGCATATGCCTTGGCTTGCGCCTCTTTCGGTGGGCCCAGGCTGTCCCGGTATGGTTTTGCAGTTGCTGGCTTTTCACCTCCAATGTAGCATGTGTGTACTTGGTGGCCCTCACCAACGCATCTATACTTGGAATACATAGAAAATGGATATGATCGCGCTGCATCCCAAAGTGATACGATTGCGCGAAGCGGATGATGCAATCGGCCGTGGCAATTTTGAGGCGGCTCTCGGCTGCGCAGCGCATCTTAAGCTCGCAGGCTCGAGGCAGTGACATAGTTAGAGGCATGAGATACTTCACTCATCGTTCGGCAGGGGTTGGGGCCAGAGTTGCGACTGCGCCGCTGCACGCCCAGCCGCCGCGGCGCCTTGCGCCTTGCTGGTGGCCTGCCGCCCACATCGGTGCCGCACCACATCACCAGCTGAGCAGCTTTGGTCTAGTTCGCCGCAGCAATGTCTCTGTGGCTAATTCAGCCACCGCAGACGAGGCATTCGCGGCTGCCTCAGCCGCAGATGCCGAGCCCGCAGCTGCAGTCGCCGCAGACACGCCGCCCGCGGACGAGGCCGCCCCTGCCGCTGCCGCTGCCGCGGCGGGCGAGCCAGCTGCCCCCGCCGACGCTCCTGTGGACGGGTCAGAAGCGCCAGCTTCGCCATTCCCCAAAGTGGACGCGACCAAACCAGCTGGAAAGCGGAAGCAGGCCACGCCCCCGGCGGATGTCGGGGCGGCCAAAAACCTGCAGGACGCCTGGGCGGCCTTCCTAGAGCACCTGCACGTGCGGGGGCACTTCAGCGAGAGCGTCGCGCCGAGGTGAGCGCAGCGACGCGCGCAAACACCCATGTCAGGCAGCAAACGCGCGCTGCGTGCTGGGTCCGCTCATGCCGGCCCTGGGCCAGATCTCAAGCCGCCTCCTGACGCGTGATCTCATGCAAATGTGCAGCCATCGCAGACAACATCCCTGTACGCACGCGCACGTCACACACACACACACACTTACACACACACACACACACACACACACTTGCGCGCGCGCACACGAACGTCCTCGCGTCAGGGAGCTGGCGGTCAAGTCGCGCCGCGACGTCAAAAAGGCGCTGCAGCAGCTCGGGCGCGGCCGCCCCGACATCCTGCCGCGCCTGCCGCGCGCCGTGGTGGCCGACCTCGCCGCGATCCCCCTGCCCCCCAAGGTCCGCCCCGACCGAAAGTCCACCCACGCGGCCAAGCGCCTCAAGGCCAGCTTCGCGCCGCCCAAGCCGCCCGCCAAGGGGCAGCCGTTCAGCCGCATCGCCGCCGACCTCGCGAAAGCGAAAGCGAAGAATCCGGAAGATGGGGCCCCCGCGCGGGCCTCGACCCAGGACCTCCTACGCGTGCTGTGGTTCTGGGCCGCGCTGGATTCGAAGGAGTTGGCCTCCGCGGCGCGCTACATCTCCACGCTGACGGTCGCGGGCGTGGTCAGAAATGCGGACGTGGCCGGCATCGCGCGCAGCCTGCTGGTGCACCTGCTGGCGGTGGAGGAGAAGCCCCGCGACGACGAGGCGGCAGAGGCGGCGCTGCGGCACTCGTCGACGCCGGGGCAGAAGCAGCTCGACGAGCGGAAGGCGCGCGCGGCGGCGGCCAGGGAGGAGCGGGCCGCGGCCGGCGGCCCGCGCGGCGACGGCGACGGCGGCGGCGGGCGCATCCGCGAGCGCGAGCGCGAGCG